TGTAATACTGTGTTCAGTCTTGGGCTCTTTACCTTATGAAAGACATTGAATTGTTGGAAAGAGTTTAGAGAAGGGTTACAAGAATGGCTCCTGGCATAGAGGAGTTGTCATAGAAGGAGAGGTTGAAATCTCTGAAATTGTTTTCTCTTGAAAAAAGAAGACTTAGGGGGATCTGATTGAGGTGTTTAAGATTGTAATGGGAATTGTAGTGTAACAGTAAAGTATAAGTACATAGCTTGCTCTGATTGGAAGTTAATATTAATTAATGCTATTACCTGCCTTCTGTGGAGGCTGATACAGTGATAAGAACTATAAATTAAAGTTTCTGTTCTTATATCAGGAGACACAGCTATGGTTTGTATTTACATTTATCATCTATGTTGATACTGTGCATGAACTTGATGAAGACAAAAACACATAAACTTGAAATTTAAACAAGTGTTCCACAGTCTTGTTTGTTGGAAAGAAAAATTCATCTTTTTTTTTTTAAATGTAACATAAGTTGTAAATCTTTTTTTTAACTGTATATTTTACCTTATGAAAGCAGAACAGTGTTAAAATGTATGTTTTTTTTCTAAAAATGCAATTTACTGTATGTACCTATTTTAAATTTAATTTTAGAAGAAATGGAGTTTATTTATAATAACATTCAAAAACATATTTGCTTGGTAAAAAGCCAAATAATATAACTGGTTGGAAAATTTGATGTTCACCCTTATTATTAAAGGGTAAATACAAAAAAAATTCAGAGGAGGGTTACTAAAAATATTCCTGGTTGAGATTATTTTGTGGGGGTAGGTTATGATCTCTTAACTTATTTTCTTTCATGTAAAGAAGGGTAAGAAATGATCTTATTATTGAAGTTTACAAGATTATCCAGGGGATTGATGGGATAAAGTTTTGTTAATTCAACTTAAGTTTAAGTGTGATAATCAGTAGACTTTCTTTTATTTGCAATTCTTGTTCACTGTTGTTCTTAGCAAAAATTAAATTGTTCTTTACTTATAGGTTAATTACATTCATTCAGTATGTTTCTCAAAAGTGAGCTGCGAACTACCTAGTGGTGCAACAAATATAACCTCTATAGAGATAATTTCTAACAAGCCTTTTCTGTGGCACTTGTCAGATGCTTTCTGAAAATCTAAATATACCAAATCCTTTTTTCTGAAGAAGGAACTGTTGAGAGTAACAGACCAAGTATTTTTGAGCTCTTTTGCTGAGAGGTTAAAAGCTTTTAGTTGCAGGTATAACATTTTCCTGGAAGAGTTAAATATTATTTTGGAATTATTAAGTTATGAAATTTAGAATAATTATTTGAGTGTATTTTAGTTAGATTAATTAGGATTGGACACAGGTTTTATTCTTGTAGGTACTGCTAAGTGTAAGTTTGCATTAGGCTTAATTTAGTATTCAGATTTTTAGGCCTTGCTATTGTTTTTTGGTATTTAAGTTAAATGTTAAACTGGCCAGGTACCTGAAGGCTGGAGAGTTGTTTATGATGATCTTATTAAAGCGTACAAGATTATCTGGAGGATTGATAGGAAGTATGCTTCTGAATTCTTTGTACTATATTCTGAATATAATTAAAATATGGAAAGGGAGGCAAGGTTTCAATGAATACTTGAATTTTTTAAAATAGTAATAGGGTGGTTTTTATTATTGAAGTTGTGATTTACAACACTCACCCCCTCATTTTGTTCCAATATATATAAATAATTATTTCACACCAAGTTTTATCCATGCTGAATAAAACTTGGGGATTGCTACAAGGTAAAATTTCAACTACATGAATGTTCTAGAACATTGTAAGTAATTCTGGAAGGTTCTAGCACTTGAATGTCTTACATGATAATGCTTTAACGGTTGTGACCTTTATTGAGTAGTATAATGCCATCATAACAATGAAAGAATAACATCTTTTCTTTCACCTGCTGTTAATGATGTGTTGTTTTGGAGTATTTCTTGTACATCTTCAGCTGATATAGTAAATACAAAAATTCTGGCTCATGTGCATTAATAAAAATTGGACAGATACTAATAGCTACTTAACTTTGTCCTTTAAGCCCACTATGTGTGTGTGTGTCTAAGAATAGTGTATGAAGTTTATGGTAAACATTTATGTTATTGACTATAAGTAAGAAGTAGATAACACCAAATTAACCTGTAAAAACTGTTAAAATAGAGTATCTTTCGACAGTTTCATTAGATCCTGTAGAACACTATCTACTTCAGTCCAACCAGTTGTCTGAAATAAGTGGTCAAACTCCAAGCAGTACTTGTGTAAGTCCAGGTTCCATATCAGGTGAACCATCAACTTCATTAGACACCAGAGTTGGAAGAAACCAAAACACTGATGATATAGATCCACCCGTGAAGAAGCTCCGACGAAGCCCTAGACATCAGAAACCCACTGGCTCCCAGAGACCTGAGTACAGTGATCTGACTGACTTTCCTTCAGGAGCCAAAATAAAGTACACAAGTGGTAAGTTTTTCTGAAGATAATACTTTATTTAAACACGTATTCTAGAGTAATAAAAAATTCATATTGTATGAGCCTTTGAGTTTATTATAGCCATTAATTAATGAAGACTAAATGATATGAAAGAATCTTTCATTTTCAACTTTTTTCATGAATTGTTAGTTGTATTTGCTAATCAATTAAATGTTGGGTTCATAAATCAGTTTCATTCAACTAATTGATTATTCTTACAAGATTAATCTTCCCATTTTCATTTTGTTTTATGTTTTTAAAGACATTTTTGAACTACCTTTTGTTTAGTCTGATAGATATCTGAAAATGTATCAGACATACAATGCAACATAGTGCAAAACCTGTTACAAGCTGGTAATATGATTAATACCTCTTCTTAGGTTTCTCCTTATAGATTTTCACAAGATCAGTCTAATAAAACTTGAATATTTGTTGGTGAAAGTAAAACTTACTTTTATCATGTTGATTATAAATAAATGTAATAGGACTAGTAAGATTATAGTTAAGTAGAGGTTAATATAATTTATTTACACTCAGTTCTTGGGATTGAGTTAAAGATTTCAAATGAATATAACTATTGAGGTGATCAAGCATGTGGATATTTTATAAAGGGATAATAAACTTAACTCGTGTCACTTCACTTGTTAAGAGGTAAAGGTGGATAAGATTATTATTGGTATAAAATTATTCATTATTTTTTACACAGCAATATTTCAATTTGATGTAAGCCAAATATTGTTACTCACTTTTTTGAAGTAGAGAAGAATAATATTATTATTAGTATAGAATTAGTCATTATTTTATACACAGATAATATGAAAGATTGTAATCAATGCTCATAGGTAACCAATTATATTGAGTTAATGACCCATCATGAACCATAAATACTGTGTTGAACCATGACAAGTAAGAATTGCAGATTTTGTTCCAATAACAGGTTTGTATGTGTGATTTCATTAGTTTTAAACTTGAATAACATTAAGTGTTAACACAAAATACAATAGGTGATATGTGGGAATCTTTTGTTTTATGTATGTTTTTACGAAACTTTTTCTTACAAAACAAATTTAAGTAAATAATGATACTGTATAACTAACATTTTTAACCTTTACACGTATGCAAACTTTAGTTTTAACCCATTATTGTACTTTAATCAGTGACTTATTTTTTACTGTCATATCACTACAGATTTCTTGAATTACATGTCATATAATTTTTTAATTTATATTTTCCTAGTTATTGTTAAATTCTACAAAAAAAGGTAAAATTATTTCTTGAGATTATGTAAACAAAAACTACATGATCCTCTTCAAACTTTTTCTACTTTTGTCGTAGTAGTCATATAGTGACTCTGCAAAGGACTGAAAAACCCTTAAATGATTTCTGCAACACTTTATACTCCAAAATATATTTTTGTAAAATTCTAAGCTTTTTAATGTTGATTTCCCCCTCAATAAAATGTTTAGTCTTATTTACTGAAATGTAGTTTTAGGATACAAATGAGGTTTCATTTGATAATTTACGATTTGTACAGCTGTAACAGCACTCTTAAAAGGACCTTAGAAAGCAAAATGACCAAGCCAGAATATGGATACAAAGTTTTAATACTGAGAAGTGTTGAGCTAGTTAATTGGGTTATACAGACTTGGAAAGCACTTAATTTTTGTGTGAAAAAGGCATTAATGTTATGGAAAAAAGAGAGAAGTTATTATTTGTTCCTGCTACTTTAAAAACTTTTAAAATGCCTCCATTATGGTGAGGAGGTTAAATAAAATTTTCAGAAACATTACTTACTTCTCTGCACCACTTAGCTAGTACCTCCTGTGCAACTTGTGTGGAATATTCTATGCATATCACAAGCCTTGAAAAAACTCCAACCCCCTTCATGTGTCTATGTGTATTGCACCAGCTTATGATATAGTCGTTATAATACTTTTGCCTTCTACCAATAGGAGAGCAGCACAACCTCCATATGCAGTAATCCCCATAAGCACTAGCACATGATCATAGGCTTATTATTTCCTTAGCACTGCCTATGTTCAGACATGTTTTTCCTTTGTTTTTAGACTTCCTAGTCACTTTGATTGACTGCCTTTCATTATTTAGTGTTAGATTATATTTGTTCTTTCATTCTGTTCACCAGATTGCAACTTGTTTTTTTCTCCAGCCACCACATTTCTTGTATGCGCTATAAAACAATAGATGCATAACAAAAAAAGCCTTGAGGCCTATATGTTCCTCTTCAGGCATTTTCTCCGAGTCAGTGGTGATTTGAGGTACCTTATCTGTTTTTGGAGCTGATGATCATTAGTTTTCCCTTTGGCTCATTAATAGAACGAGTGCTTAGCATGTGATAGGTCTTGGATTTCAGTCCATGGCAAGGTACTATAAATATCATGGAAATACATATTTAATTATCATGATCTTGTAAAGCTATGATGAACCACATTATAACATGTTCGCTGCTGATTTTTTTACAAATATTGTTATCACTATCATACATCAGCTGGTTGGTTCCATTCTGCTTACTTCTTCTCCAGTTCCAGTCCTTCATCATTCTGTTTCATTGTCTTCTGTGGACAATTTTGGCCAGATCTTTCATCCCCAGCCTTTGCTTCTGGCTTTATTCTCTCTGATGAGGAAAAGGTACCTCTTCCTTTTATTTTTTATATATTCGTAACTATGGTGCATGCCTTCCTGTCTCTTTTTACTGTATATTATAATGACTCTTGGGTTGCTTTACTTTATGGGCCTCCTTCTGTTCCAAATCCGCATTGATCAATATTTTCCTTGTCTTCGTGACTCCTTTACTATGGCCTCCAGTCATGACCCTGTAAAATTTATTGAACCTCAATCACATTTATCCTATGTATCTGCTTGGATGCTTCTCTTTTTGCTTCTTTTCTCTTTCTTTCCTGCAATCTGCTTGTCTTCGCATTACCTTTACTTCTTTCCTATATCTCCACCTTTCACCTCTTCACTGTGTCGTTTCATCTTGATTGTGATGGTTTTGATGGGAACACCCCTTCTTATTTGGCTACTCCTTTGGTTTCTATTTCTTCTTGTACTTTTTTGTCTTTTTTTTTTCTGTTCTTGGGATCTCCTTGGTTTGGATGCTTTTCTTTTGGATATATGCTTCCCTTCCTTCTCTCGCCTTCATCTAAGTCTTACCCATTTTCTCCATGTACCAATCTTTGAGAGATTTCAAATTACTTTGAATCTCAGACTGTGGCTGCTCATTAACAATCTTCCTTAGATACCTGGTTTCCTGTCTCACTAGACTATGGATACCTTAGTTGGCTACTTACCTGTAGTAATCATATACTTGTATGCACACAAAAAAAGTAAAACACACCAAAAATGAGAAATAAACAAAACACAGTGATTCCTTACAGGGAAGTACAGAAACTGGTAAACTTTTCCATCTCTTCTCAGTGCCCACTATGGAAATGTTTGCTGTTTTTAGTTAACCCAAAGTTTAAAACAGGGAGGCACCACTTACAGAGGAAACTCTCCATGTGAACTTCCCCAGCAGCTTGGGAATGGGGAAAGAAGGGCTCTCTTGTGCCCCACTAGAAGAATGGGGAAGGGGCAATATATGTGTAGGGGAGAATACTGAAGAGTATGACTGGTCCAATGTCATCAAGGACAATCATATGGAATTGGGCCCCCACTGAGAAACAGTACAATTGGTCACTATAGGGTGTTAAGTGAAAATGTAATACAGGACATCCTGGTACCCTATCTGCCAAACAATATCCGGTGGATGTGTCCAACCAGATGGAACTTGGATTTGCCTTTAAATGCAGGTTAGAGCTCCTCCTTTCTCTATCTGCTGTTATAGTATTTAGTAGGCCAGAGTAATATTAATCTTTTTACTATCATGATAGTTTAATATTGGCTATTAATTTCATGTTTGTCAGCACTATCACAATAAGTTACTTTAAACTTTAAGGTACTTTGATGACTTCATAATATATTTTACAGAAATTTTTACAACAAATTGACAGTAATAGTATTCATGAGTATGCTAATAACATTATAATCATGCAGGTACTTAAAAATTTTACTTCACAAAAAGCATGCTTTGTTTACTGCAAGTTAGATGTTAGAAAGACTAATATGTTCACATTCTCTGACAACAGACATGACCTCTTAGTGTTCACAATATGTCTTGCAAGGCTAAATGCTTGTTCTGAAGGAACAGAGGCTGTAGGAACTGCAAGATATTTGCTGGCTAACTGTACCAGATGGCAATATCTATTACTGGGTCTTGCCCACAATTCTAAAGGACTAACCTTGCCCCATGAGTCAATCGCATTTTCATTACCATTATAACTTGCTATCTCTCTTCTTGCATTGTCATTATCATTTCCTGTAGCCTCACCATCTTGTTCAGCAGTTGGTTGAACAATGTCCTCTAATATCTGAATTAGTTTCCGTTCATCATGAAATGTGCTTTAAGATGAAGTTTCATCAAACTGTACACAATAAGCTGCAGGTTCTACTAAAACTTTTATGAATCAGTAACACAGGTCAAGAAAAGTAGCTTTGTTTAGTAGATCAAGAATAGGTCCAGTGTAGTGATCATGTAAATTATTTCATCTTTAGTTTCATCATTTTAACAATCCTACAGTCAGTGTCGCAGTTTTTCAAAAGATTATTAAGTAGCTTAAGTAATAGTGCTCATATCATAGATATATTAACATATTGGATAATTCTATATCAGTAGGCATTAAATCACTTTTCTTGAGTTTCATTAGTGTAGCACACAATGGTTGCTCCTGCTGGATTATTATTTCAACCATATAGTAACTGCTATTCCATTTTATTAGAGTGTCATTAACAAGTGAAAATTGTTTGTGCTTTTGATGCAACAGGTAATATAGTTTTGGAGAGCAATTAAAGTAAGCTACAAGTTTTTTGCACGTACCAATAATCTTTTATATCTCTGGCAACTTTATAGCCTGATCAACAGCAAGTTGCAGTTTGTGACTGAAACATGGCAAATGATAAATTTCAAGCATCTCAATTACAGCAGTGATGTTTGCCCCATTATCTGCAGTAGCAGCAATTACCCCATAAAATGTTAACTTCCACTCGTTTAGCATATTGTTTAGCTCTGCTGCAATATTGACACCTGTGTGACTTTCAGGAAACTCGTGGACTGCTATAAGATAACTTTATACCTTGAATTGTTGTGCAATGAAATGAATTGTAATAGCACAGTATGATTGTTACGTCCACATGTTTGTGGTAATAACATAACATTCTACTTCATCAAGCTCTTGTTGGACTCTTAGACTTCTCCTATTGGTACAATTCCTGCATATAAGGACAAGCTATGATCTTGCAATCTGGAGATGAGTAGCGTGGCTCATAAACATTAATCGCACAATGGAAGCCAGGATCATTAACTGTATCGATTGGTTGTATATTCTTTGCAAGAAAATATCATACTGTATCTGTCAGCTTCTTCCAGCACCTGATAAGTGGCAATTGAGCCTCAGACATTGCTGGAAGGTGCTTTTGTGAACTTAGCACTTTGCCTTTACTCCCACTACTTTTCTTACTTATGTTTACTGCTTCATTTTCTTTTTTTTCCATTACCACAAAATCACTTGGATGCACATTGCTTAAATGTAAAGACATGTTAAAAGTATTTCCACAATATTTGAATTGCTTGCTACAAACTTTACAAGGTACTTCAGTTCATTTCCTTTTATGTTTTTCCAAATACATGCCATCTTTTTTCTGGAAAACCAAAAAACTTCCAGATCTTGCTTGTAAAACCTTATAATGGAATCAGTTCTATTTCATTTGCACTTGAGCCACTATTACTCGAACTAATACTACAATCATTCACCACCTTGTCCATCATGTCATCCGTTATATTTAATACTCGTTATAAAGAAAAATGGCTGAGTGATAATGTGATATGGTACCAAATGTGCAAGTATTACTTGCACTATTCAAATAGTATGAAGGTTAAGTGTCGTATTCCTGAGTAGTGCTAAACTATCTTGATAGTGAATACTATTGATACTATTGCTCAGATGTAGTATCTATCTCATGTAAGTATTTGATCAAGAAAGGATGGCCTAAAGCCCTAGCCATGCTACACATTCTAACGTTCTGCCCACTTTTGCAACACTTAACTACCAGCACCAGATTTTTCTGATATCCTTTGCTCTGTTATCACATGTGATCTCACTGGGTGCTGTTCCACTAGATGTCCCCTCTTATGGAAGTCACATTCCATGAGCTTTTCCTTTCTGTTGCTATTTCAGAAGAGCTCATCCTTGTAATTGATCAACACCGACCACTCTCCTCATCATTGTGAGATTCTAGTGTAGAGAAGTAAGCAACATTTCTGAATTTAACATTCTTCTTACTTGAAAAATATATTTCCGATAGATACTAACCTCTCTGCCCCACTTCCCACCCTTCCTCCCTATTTCCAGTGCATTTTATTTGTTTTGTTGAGAATGATCTTATGATAATATGCTAGTGCTGTCAGGGGTTACTGCACATAGTAGTTGTGTTGCCCTTCTGTTGGTGGAAGGCTACAGCATTTTGATGATTACATCTTAGGCTAGCACAATACATGTGGCATGTGCAGGAAATTCCACTAAAATTGTTATGAGGTAATAGCTCTTAGTGATGCATAGAGGTAAGTATCTATCTGAAATATATGTTCAGGTAAGGAAAATGTTAACATATGTTTCAAAACAGGACACTCTTAATTTTTAATGCTATTTAGGATTTAACGAAGTTGTAAATTGTAGCACTAGTTATTTGCAAAAAAAAATGTCTAAACTACATTAGAAGAAACCCAATCCATTAAAAAAATTAGATCAGTTTTTTACTTGACCAATTAAATTTTTAGAGAAAGATTAGCATATAATAGTTTCATACTATTCTTGCAGTCTTCAAGTAAGATTCAATAAATCTAAACAGTGCACTTTGCTTAGGGATGAACATCAGTTACAAAGTTACTGATTAACTGAATGAAAATGTTTATTTTTTTGTAAGTTAATTTCTTTTAACAAATATGACCATTAAGAATGTTCCACTTGATAATAATTTAGCTGATTTCAAAATTTACATGATGATAAATTTATCATCTTGTATTTCTTCCTTATTTGTAGATGTTCGTCTCAGGGTTCGAGCTGAATATTGCAATTATGAAAATGCTCTTCGTGGGGCAGTATCATCAAATAAAGCAGATCCAATTGAACGTCAGCTGGAGTGTTTTAGCCAAGCTAATACTATCTTGCGCTCTCGAGATCTTGGAGACATTGTCTGTAACATAAGATTCTCTGAGATTACTTATCTGGATGCATTTTGGAGAGATTACTTGAATGGAGCATTATTGGATGCATTGAAAGGTTAGTAAGATTTAGTATTTAAAAAATTCACTAATTATAATTATTTTATACATGTCATTGACTAGAGTTAAATTAATTTTATGCATTGTTATATATGCTATAGAGTGAAAATTTGTTAGCATATAAATGAAATACAGGTAGATTGATATGGAACTGTACAACAAGATCTACTTGGATGTTGACCAAAAATTAGGTTGGTGATATGATATTTTCCAGTTTACATGAATGATGTTATCACAGAATGAAAATCAAAGGTTATCACAATTAAATATTTTGAACCGTGGTAGCATATCGTAAGCAAACAAGTATAGATTGAATGTTTTTAATTACAACATACTCATCATGGTACAATAAGGTTAGTCTTGAAAAAACTGGTGTGTAACATTAATGCAGGAGTAAAGAAATTTTTATAAATAAGATGTATGACAAATGTTATCTGTATTAGTTTTAACAATATATAAAATATTTGCTTGCAATATGTCTTTCAACAAAGATCTAATGCATATATATATAAGTGTGAAATTTGGCTTTAAAATTACTGGTTTGTTACATAATTACAACATATAGGGGTTTTGTTGCATTAGAAATTTTAAATTTATCACAAAATGTAATTTAGGTTCAAAAACATTCGGTGTTTTATATTTGTAATGTCTGTGTTTCAGACATAATTTCATCTTATGCTACTGGGCTAAAAAGCTGTAATTAAATCTTTCATCAGAAAGACATGCATCTGTGAAAGAAGATTGCTGTTTTTTCTCCTTCATAGAAGTATATTGATAGAACATATGGCAAAAGTTGTTGTTTTTTTAAATAATATTTCAGTTAAATTAATTTTTATGCCATTTGAAGACTTCTGTAATTTTTCCCCCATTTCAGGTGTTTTCATCACAGACTCCCTTAAACAGGCTGTTGGCAACGAAGCCATAAAACTTCTAGTAAATGTAGATGAAGATGACTATGAAAGAGGAAGACATATACTACTTCAAAATCTGCAACAAGTACAGTGATAAGTAGAAATTTATTTTTGTTGTTTTTTAATACAAAAAAAATGTTTTGTTACCACTTGAAACTATAATGTCGCTTTGTGTTTCTTGTATATTAAAGTTCATTGTTCTTTTTCATTCATTGAATCACCAGTTATGAGGAAGATAAACCACCATGTCAAGTGTTATATACGTTTATAGATACAGATAGATAGATAGATATATTGTTTAAATATAAGTGTAAAAAAAGTATTGACCTCTAGATTTTGCTTGGATATTTGGAATGAAATATTAATGTAAAGCTGGACTAAGTACAAGTTATTTTACAGTTTCATTATAGTTAGGGGTGTTTCTTTTTTTAGCTTTGAGATCAAGTGTGTTGTTAATGTTAAAGTAGATTTGAGTTAGTTCTTTTTAATTCTCAATTTATTCCACTGATGTTATTAGTGTATGTGTTTCTATCTAAGCCTAAAAAAATTTACAAATATTCACCTTGGGGAAAATACTTTTTTTCATCTTAATTGATTATGGGAGTTGATACACACATTCATTATTTTTATTTTACTTTTTCAATAGGGATTGGGTAAAAATAAAAATGTGCCTCTTATGCCTTACATGAACTTTTGTTCCTATAGGCAAATACATACCATCAGCTCATACAGGTTCCTATCAGCTTAATACCTCTGAAACAGTGAGACCCATTTTCTGAATTTTTTGACATTTTGAATAATCAAGTTAATTTTAATTAAACAAACGGTGTACCCCTGTATTTTGATAGTACTTAAAAACACGAAGAAGCCCTGTTTTCTGTGTATTGCAAAGGTAATAAAAAATTTTTGATTCAAAGATAAAAGTTATTAATATTATAAAGTTACATGTAAGCATTTTCTCTTTTCTACATCTTTATTTACTTTCAAAAATTTACTCTCATTTGCTTTAATCTGTTTGTGTTTTTAAATCTTTGTTTCATCATCAATCATTAATGCCTTTGAGGTAAATCTGGTGAGTAAGGGGGGGTAATTGAGTAATTTAAAGCCAGCATCATGAATAGCATTCATAACAACATGTGGTTTGTAAGCTGGGACATTGTCTGATGGAAGAGCACACCTTTTTGTGAGCAAGCTTTTCTCTTTTCTTTGATTTCTTGATGCACATAATTAATTAAGGATGTATAGTAATCTTCTGTAATGGTTTGACCCTTTTTCAAATAATCAACTAGTAAAATGCCCTTGGCTTCCTTAAAAATTGATGCCATGACCTTCTCAGCAGAAGATTGTGACTTGAACTTCTTTGATGGGTGAACTTGGGTGTTTCCGCTGCAAGTTTAGCATTTTTGTTTCTGGGTCGAAATGGTGAACCCACAGTTCAACCACATTTACAGAACCTTTGGAGTAGGAATTGACTTTCAACAACTCGGATCCCTTTCTGCTCAGGTGACAACATTTTTGGAATCTCTCTGGCACTAACCTTACTCATACCCAAACCAAATGTTTGCTACAGTACTTTTACTGTTTCCCATTTCCTCTGCTAATATCCTAATGGAAATTATTCTATCATGTATAACCAAATCATGAACTTTATCTACAACTTCTGTTGTGGTCAATGCTGAGGACCAACCTGATGTTGGATCATCTTCACGTGATTGTCTACCATGCTTAAACTCAGCACACCACCTTTCTCTGTTGAATATGCTAGAGCACCCTCTCCTAATGTTGCTACTAATGTCCTGGTGGATTTCTTGCAGTGTCATTTCTTTTTAACAAAATATATTTTATCATGGCATGAAAAACAATCTTTTCCGAGAAGCTTAACACTGCTCACTTCTTTCCTTGAAAAATCTGCAACACAAAATAAGCTCATTGAGTTAGAAGTTATGTGTTGTTTACTTATATAAAAAAAATAATAATAATAAAGGTTCAAACTTAATATTTATCAAAAAATATTGTACATTCCAGTTTTTTTTAGGTAAAGCCATGAACTTTTCTGACAACCCTTGTATATGTACTTATGTTTTCATACTGCTAATGATAAATTCCGGTTCTTAGTCAACTTGTATGTTTAAATTAAGAGCTACATGTTGAATAACTGTTGGGTGCAGCAGAGAGATATCATTAATTTCTTACAAGCATTTATAACTATTAAACTGGTTGCAAAAAATCATGTCAGCTTCAGAGCTATTAGTAATACATGCTGGAAACATCAAGATTTCATATTATAGTTTATAAATATTATGTTCGATTAAAAGAAGATAATGATTTATTTGAAAATTTTTATCAACTTGTGTACTTAAGGGTCCTTGAGATTGTCTTTGGTTCATGAAGGATCCATTAAATAAGAAAAAGGTTGAGAACCACAATATCAGGTCATTTACATAAGAAGGTACATGTTAATGTGTACAGGAAAAGAGGAGCTCTTGAAAAAAAGAAGTAAGCATCAGATTTTCTGCTATGCTATTTTGAGGTAAAATCATATTTGTGGAGGACATTATGTTTGCAATATTAACAAGAGGAAATCCTCAATAGCCATGGCACTTGAAACTTTTAGGTAGGATTAGAGTAAATTAATCTATGAGACCTTTTATTCCTTTTTATTAGCTATACTTTTGTGTGTTGGCAATACCGAGCATAAGGTGCACATATACCCTGATTAAATTTTATTACTCATCAGGATATCTACCAGTCTATCCTCAAATTGAAATTATTTTAGGCAGGATTATAGTGAATTAATCTGTGAGACCTCGGGTGTGATCAAATACATCACTCAAAAGGGTTTGACCTCCTGGGTCCTAAATTGTAATTAGATCTCAAATCGATCAAGAGAGATGGAGCTATGAGTTAAAAGTTGGTACTTGGAGCCATTCTATGAGCCGTTATACTGTGGCTAAAAAATTATGTCTGCATCCCAAAATATTTCATGTCCCTTTCAACTGACACAGTGGATGAAACTGATAGGAATTTCAAATAGACTAATATAAGATCTAAAATGTAGAACTTACTTAGAAGTCAAATGTCAAGAATTTTAGAACATGGGTCTTGTTTTGATGCATTGGTTTCTGTAGTGCAGAACAAAATTACTAACTGTTACATCTTGCTTCATGCAAGTTCCTATTTTTTAGCTAGTTTGGACATTTAAAAACCATTATAACTGTCAGCTGATCAAATTATATAAATGCCTCATTTTGAAGTCTGACAGTTTACCATGTTAAGAGACTTCATTTTTATAACAAAACCATTGTCGAATTGTATATTAAAATGCACTGAAAAAAGGGGTAATTTTATGAAACTCATATTTTACTGTGTTATTCTTAGTGAATCTTGTTGGTTGGTTTAAAAATGAAATTGTTCCTTATTGCTCCAAAACCCTTATAATCTGCTGAACTGTATTTGTACTCTTGTTATGTAAACTCTACAGTAAATATCTAATGTGTGTAACCTTGCCTTATGTACTTTGCAATACTGTACAGTCCGTGAAACAAATTAATCAGTAGTGTAGTAGTTGTTTCCAAATTTTGTGATGTGCTTGTAAGTATTTTTAATTTTGAAAATAACACTAAATTTATTATTAGAAATTGATGCATTTATGTAACTGTTAACTTGAAATGTATGTTTATATCATTTTGGTTAACATGTTTTTAATCTGTAATGAAACAAGTTTTATGGATATTGTAAATCTAAAGAAGAGGAGATGAGATTGTATTTTATAACAGTTGGGATGAAAATAATGTCTTTATAAAGGCTAGTAAACTTTCAAGTAGGGTATTAACTCAGTTTAAATAAATGTTTTTATACAAACTAGCTGAGAGTACATGTTAAGGAAGCAAGAATTGTATAAAGGACAATGTTAGATAATGTTCTTTTGTTATTAAACCCCTAATGACCACATTAGATTCTGATTTCAAACTGTGCTTTATGGAAAGTAACAGTTGACATTAATTACCTGTGTCTTAAGCTCAAAGGCAAAAATCCATGATAAAAAGTGGAAATGTTCCCTGTTTCAGGTGTGTTTTATCCTCCCTTGGGCAAAATTGCCTATGTACACCATTGGACAGTTTCCAATTGCCAAACCAAAAATTATGGTAATTAAGCCAACCATCTCTGGGTGATGGATGCTAACACAGATACATAGTAAAGATATAAAATCCAAGTAAATTAAAAATGATGGAAATGAATAACTTTTATTGCTCTCTTTTGTCATTTACAGTAGTATTCTTTATTATTTTCTGAAACTGGATAGAACATTGCCTTTTTTATATACACACTATTTAAGAAAAGTATGTTTAGAAGTAAAAGCAAGACTGAAAGTGTGGCCAGATGTTACCTATTGGACAGTGTAAAATAATCATAGAGCATAAATATCTCTGTTGGTTTTACATTGTAATATTATATTTCCAGATAAAAATTTATGAGTTTTATTGTTAATTTTGTAGTTGATGAGAAACCCAAATTTTCTGTTAAATAAAATTACCACAATCATGACATACCGAACTCTGTGTTTGCTAGTCTCGGACACCATTGTATATTTGTGCATGTTCCAAATTTTAAACTTTGCAATTTGTTTTGTAGTGGATACAAAGAAGTGTTTGATACTCTCAGTTCAATTGCCAAGTTAAATAAATAATGTGCACATATGTGAGTGTTTAGTGTAATAGCTACAAAAGTTCACATTACATTGGATAAATTTATTTTGTAAATACATACTCTCAAGAGATTGAATGTACAAAACATATCTTCATGTGAATGACTTATTCATGATCTGTTCTTTGAAAGCTATGTCCATGTATATTTTCTACTTAGACTTAGTTTAACGAAAACAGTAGTGTTGAATAAAAGTCGGAGTATGTGTTTGCTATTGTAAAAAAAAAACATTTATTTATCACTATGTTTTCCTGCATCATCATCATCTAAAATTTACCACTGATGATGAGTCTTGCAAAAATCTGAACTGCTTTTGAACCTGTAATTGCTCACAAACTGTAAAATAGCTTAAATGATAATTTTTTGTAATATTGGGAAGTGAGTTGTTTTTTTCTTCACAAAACATCTTCAGCCACTACACTTAAATGTCCTGCAAGATCCTGTTCATAATTTTAAAAGTCTCTCTACAAATGTTGTGTAGAAAGTAACTTATATTGTAAAAACAAAGAATTTTTTATTGGTATTAAGTAGAATCAGGTGACTTATTTCTAAAGCAGAAACTAATTTCAGAAGTTTCTGATTAAGAAAAGAAAGCTTGATGAAATGTTATAGCAGTTTGTTCAGTATTCATATATCAAGTGCAGTACTACACTTTTAACAGTTTGAAATACTTACAAGTTTTGCTTATAAATTTTGTGTCTGTTTATGACAAATTTGAAAAAAAAATATTTGATAGTCTTAAAACAATTTACAAAGGTAAAACATTTGCTTTCTTATTTTCAGTTTATTTAAATATATCTTGTTAATATGTTTAGGATTTATTACAGGTTATAAGATTATAATAATTTCCTGTACTATTCTACATGGGAATAAAAAATAGTTAATGCTTTAGCTTCAGTCATAGATGCAGTTCAAGACCACTTTCTTCAAATAAGATATGTTTTTCTTAATTTGTTAAACAAGTAATGTCTATAGCAGTAAATAAAAGTGTAACATATACTGTAATCCAGCAGCTTCAGCATTGGTTATACACTTAGGTATGTAAAGTAATTATTGGTAGCTTTTTCTTTATCTGCACAGTAGATAAGCTGTGAAAAATATTTAACAAGTAACAAATTAACTTGCACCATGCAATAAAACCGATAATTATAACCAACTCAAATCTAGCTTTGAATATCATTAGCTCTCATCATTTCATTTAGAAGAATAAAATAAGATTCTACTGAAAAAAAAAGATAAGAAAAGGTGTAGTTTTATTGACACCTAAGTCAACTTGTACACTTTGCTGTAGTTTCATTCCTTACAGTGTTATCTTGAATCGTAGTAACAATAAGATGTCGTGTTTTAACAGTGTGCGTTATTATACACATGTGTTATAGGAACTCATCATAATTGCAATGTTTATTCCACATGTTATAGAAACTATATATGTCATTAGCTAATTCCAAATATTTTGCTTAGTTTTATAACTGCTATGGTAGCATTTTTCTCTTGACATGTACTTAAAAATGATTTTGGATTATGTAAAACAGTTTAGAATTAACTCTAATAGATTTTAAGTACATAATTGCAGAAGTCGTGAAAAGTTTTTGAATTTTGATAGGATTTCAGTGTTTTCAGAGTTCTTTTTCAAAGTATATTATTATCTTTCTCAGTTAATATATATATATATATAATTATCCTATGTTCAAAGGCCAAACTAAGTTTGTAGTCACAACAAAATTACACCAATTTGGTCATCTATACAAATAACTCGTAAAAGGAGGTATTGACTTTTGGGAAATGTAACACCTTAACCTACCTTTTTTGGATATAATGATGTAGAGGAGTTAGGCTTAAATGGCTTTCATACCATAGCATAAAGTACAATCTTCAGTAGTATAATATCATATGACAGGAACATTGCAGCTGATTTTTGACTGCTGTGTTTTTCAGTCTCTGTAGTGAATAATTTCATAAATTATTAGTTATCCAATTGATTTGTACAAATAATTAGTTATTTAAATATATGTAATATTCAACTTTTACTAAACCCTGTGGGCATTTGAACATATGTTCCTAATTTATCCACAACATGCTGTAAACCATCACATTAGCTCTGGATTTAATTTTATTTTAGCATATTTTTTCTTTGTAACCTGTCTTTCCATTGTATTTATTTACACGATTATGAACCTTATGAAAATGAAATTAACATGTTGTAGATTTTCTCAGTATATTATTATTATTGATATTTTCACACTATATTCAATTTGTATATGAAAGGTATACTTTTTATGATACATGACCCATTTTTGTCTAGTGCAGTGCCATACAGAGTAACTACTGTAAAAATGAATAGTTAGTCTTGAATAATGCATAGATACAGTCAAACACTACAAAATAATGGAGGTAAATAAATCAGGGTTTAATTTCTTGTAGGATTCATTATCCACATCATTTATATTCAGCATAATAATAAGCTTTTTTAATAATATTTGAGCTTGAATGTGTAAACAGATTTTTTGGTATGAAAATACACGTATATGTGTCGTTTTTTTATGTGTTTCCTGTTTGAGGCTAATTTGTTAATGAAGTAACAGTAGCCAGAACCACTGAAATCAGTAGTACAGTGTAAAGAAAGGACTTCAGTTGTTTAAAGGTCCATCTTGTACTGACATCAGAAAAGTTGTGCTTATAGTTTACTCCACCATTATGGACATTGAATACTTGAGTTCATCTTGGGTGAAAATGTACAAGTTTGTCTTCTAAAATTATGTTATCTGATACTTTAAGTAAGTTCATTGGTGTATATAAAGAAACTGAATAGTCATATTGTTTGGGATCTGTATCTTTTGCCATGGACAGCATGTAAGATTTACCAAATCTTGTATTCCCTTTGATTGCTAGTAGGGAATGTCTTAGAATCCAACATGGCAGCATTTAATGAAACTGGATGTTTTGCCATGGACAGCATGTAAGATTTCCCAAATCTTGTATTCCTGTTGATTGCTAGTAGGAAATGTTTCACATCCAACATGGCAGCATTTAATGAAACTGGATGTTTTGCCACGGACAGCATGTAAGATTTCCCAAATCTTGTATTCCTGTTGATTGCTAGTAGGAAATGTTTCCCATCCAACATGGCAGCATTTAATGAAACTGGATGTTTTGCCACGGACAGCA